GTTGTCAAGTGGATTCAATGTGGAAGTGGCGTGCGCTTGCCTTAGTCACCACACAAATGCACTTGATAACAAGGCCACTAAATGGAGGTCTTCATATTGTCCCTTTCGTGTAGACGAGATAGTGACGATGTTTGTCGCCTCGAGGAAGGAAGCAGGCGAATCACGTCTACATATGGTGTACAGAGAAGAGGAGAGACAGACGAATTGGACAGAGATTTCTACTCCGATTAGGGTACTTCATAGGGGTGACTGAAGATGTGAGTTTATCATCTCTTGTAAACACTTTTGTACTGCTATGATGAGATGACCACTTCACAGAGACTGGTACATGCAGCAGTGTGGATGTGAATGCACGTGTTTGGGGAAGATGGGCAAAAGTGAGGCGTACTGCTAGTTGGCAGCATGTTGTTGAATACATCGCCTAATTGTTAGTGCTGATACAAGTTGAGCCTGAATAAACGCCTTCAAGATATGCCTGAGGTACGGCCGACCACCCCAATGCGGGTGCGTATGCGCATTAATGATGATGCTCATTACGCTTCACCGAAACACTCTCATGAGTTTGACCGAAGTCGAGTTTATCTGCTCAAACTCTTAAATTAATCTTTTATTATCCTCTTCTACTTCAACGCGTTGACTAGCTACTGATAACGAATTCTCCTATACCAAAGATACTGTGCAGGGAATACTTTAGGTCTGTGAGATGTGCACATATATTTGAAGAGAAAGAAACAGATGCGAAACTGTCAAACTGCTAACATACCAACTTGAGTGCAATTCCTCTTCCATTGCCCTGCTGCAGGTCGAATGGCTACTCACCTTGTGGTTGGACGCAGACATGGGCGGATTAGACTCTGATTCAACGCTGCTTCGCCTGAATGTCTAGTCAAACTACTGGAATTTGTACACAAATTCAGTGAAGAATATTACACGTACACTTTGTATGTTAATGGTTAATGTCAAGGGAAGGCGGCTGTCTCTCTTCCTCTCCCTCAAACTCAATGTTTAATCTATTCACCGCTAATTCAGTGCCGATGGGAGGCCCTTTGTCGTCCTTTAAGATAAGAAGCTAAACTCTCTTCCCATTGGTTGATGTACAGATCGGCTACAGTTAACGGAGAAATTCTCTTCAATACATTTCATCGAAATGTATTAAGTGGATAGACTTCAGCTCAATTTCTTCTCTTCGTTTGAACAAATCAACTATTGTATCTGCAATCTACCTTACGCGCATACAAACCAGGCGTAAATTTGAGGGGATGAAGCGATGTATTTGAAGTGAAAGAGATATAGCGGATCACTCCAGGGTTGTCAATGATAGGTCCGCTTGCTTGGCGCTAAAATGCATGGGCGAGCTCAAGTCACAAGTCTCTCGGTTAGCCAATAGTCCCGTAGCAGTACGGTTTCACTACTCAAACAGGTGAGAAATAGGCTGATATTGCTTAAAATCACAACACCATTAGCTATTGCGAGACTTCTAAATCTCTTCTAGTCAACTTCTAAAAATTCTGTATTTGATGATGGCGGTGTTGACGACGACGATAGGTAATGTTTGCAGTATGAAGAAGAGGGGTCTTTCTAAATGAGGCGCACTAACCTTTTAGTAGTTTATTCGTGGATTTGAATATTAAAACTCCACATCTCCAACAATTGAACGCAGTGGATTGTGCTACAATATACAGAAAATCTTAACATCATCTCTCAAATGAATTTGCCTCCAAAACCTTCTTGCTTTGCAGAGAAGATGATCATCGTCAGGCACTGATTTTTGACGATTCGGTGAACACGGTGACCAAGTTGATTGCGCCTTACTCCGGAGCAATTGGCGTTTGTTACTATGGGACATCCACTCATTCAATGACTTGCTCATAACTAGCATCCGAGTGGTTGGATTGATTCCATCTTCTAAATAATAATAGTGGTGCAATATGTATAAAATGATACCATGAATTAGTTGGGCATCGGTTTGTTGGCCTCGAAATATATGACCTTGGGACGAAGAATTTGTTTCATCATCCTTTTCTTGGATAAGAAGAGTGCACCAACCTTGTGGCTGGAGAGGTGTCATTTATCCCATCACAGGGAGGTCCGCTGTCGTATGCTGAAATCAATGGGACTGAATGTGCAAAAGCCCATAAAATGTGCTGTCTCAGCAAACTTCGTATCTGTATATAAATTGACCTATCCACCCCTCTGCATTATTAGAGTGCGAATCTGGGAAAGTGAACAGGAGCACTTCCAAAAAATGCTAAGAGGAGCATCGGTGAAAATCTAACTTGTTAAAATTCATTTGTTTTATGTCATCGTGGGATCATTAGACTACTGAATTCACCATCTCTACCACCGCCAAAGAAGTGAGTATCATTCGCCACGTGATAGAATCGTGTGTATCACATTACCTTAAAAGTTGTCTCGTGGTTGTGACTCGTAATGGTAGGCAGTAATATTGGTTTCATTGGTAGTGAAATCCGCAGAGACAGATAATTCTATGCAGGTGAATGAACATATTATCAAATGTGTCGATTAGACAAAGGAAATCATTCTTCGCAAGCCAGTTGTTAGCCAATGTTTTCTTCAGCATTACTTGAAAGTATTCCTGCTCCCTTTCTTAGAAGCGTGCTTTAATAAGGGTTAGCTAAGTGGTGGGCTTTTGAACGATCGCTGCCATTGGCGCTAACATATGACAGTCACGAAGCAGGTACGATCATGCCGCCTGCCACCTTAAACGAGCATGTATTAAAGTAATACGCAATCAAAAACTGCAATTCTGATAATCATTAGTAATATATGCCGATTGCGAGAGCAGTGCTAAGTGGATGTTGTAGTCAACCTGACGATTTCCACAAGCAATTACTAAGTCCTTGAGTTACTTATCGCCCTACTTTACATTTTCTCTCTTGCACTAAGACTAACGATGCATCGCCTACAGGGTGGTGCTTCAAACCACAATAAATGGGCGTAAATGGTACGCGGAAGACGTCAGGGAGGTGTAAACTTCTGGGTACTGCAACCTGTTAAATGTAACTCTCACATTGGAGTCACCAATTAAGCAAACAAGTAACCGAAATGCTTAACTTCATTAAGATTATCCAAAGTACTCCTTCGATACCTCGACCACTGCGCATTATGCATAATTCCGTAAACATCCCTCATAAAAACTTGGTATGTTAATCAAAAAACGATTGTGTGGTGAAATTAATGAGTACATGAAGTCAAGCTAATAAAGTATTAGACAGCACCACCTACTTCTCACTCTCTTGCTGGATGCATTTACTAGTCTCATAGTGATTAACTTCCCCCTCCATAGGAATACTAGTCGAAAAGCGTCTTGGTCCTCTCCACTCCAAATAGCACTGTCAAGGGTCTGCCGTCAGTCCGTTGGCCCCTTTCAAAGATGTCACCACCTAGTTATCGATTCCACTGCTGTAGACTGATCTGAAAAGATCTCATCTGATTAGATTAGTTCTACCTTCCATGGGCACAACAATTGACAGGCTGGTACAACTGAATCGGGACTAATGAATAGGGTTTGAAAATAAACATGACCCTTTCCTCAATCCCACTTTACTCCTCTTATCGCATGCGCACATCTCACGGAGGCACCTCATACATCTCAAACGACTCAAACACCCCAACACAAAGCCGAGAGAAGTGCATAAATTTAGGACGCATCACAATTTGACTATGAAAACGGCAGCTAATTCACTCTTTTACATACCAATAACAGATATGGTGGTAGAAGGCGAAGAAGCAGAAGAAGAGAAGAACAAAAGGAGGAAAATGTTAAACTTTCGAAGTATTTGGAGAGGAAAAGCATCGGAGAGATTGTAGAAATGAAGAACGAATTTCACCAGTGTTAGGAGGAAAAAAGATGTGTGTCACCAAGCTAAGCTAATTCTAATTACCCTCACCTAGATTGGGATGGGCAAATGAGACCACCATAAGACCACCTACAACTCCATTGCGAAGCACAATCTCTCTGTCACCCCTGAGAACCCCAAATGCAAAAAGGCTGCAAGACCACACGGAGCTTTTCGCTTTTCCAGGATCATCGATCCCATGGTAACTAATACACTGCATGCTGTTTGACATTCGTGCATGCAACGGTGTGTTGTGTATCAAGCATCTTGTTATCAAAAACGACAAGTTTGAACAACATCCATCTACACGGCCACCTACGTGCACCTACATACAACCTCAAGCACCGCAAGGTATAGTGATGGTGGTAACGCTCAATCTTTCGCCGTCTTTACACTGATTCCCGTGGTTTCACACGTTTATGTTGCAATGTAAACATGTTCTAGAGAGCCTTGTACGTGTGTACTGTGGACGCGTTACGATGGCAGTTGTGATGACTGCAATTATGGTATTGCCCGACATTAGTCAAATTAATGGTCATGCCTGTGATAACGAAACCTCTGCCAACGCGTACGCCAGGACCGATAAACAATGGAGGCATGGCCGCATGTGGGTGGCTCATGTGATATAACTCCTCAGGAGACGAATGTTTACGTGGGAGAAACGACAAACACAGTAGAGCATATCATTTATAAGTATAAATACACATGATTCCGGCAAATTAGTGCACACTGGCTACGATCACACTTTCGGTTTTTGGTCAGCATTGGTGACGAGGTGAAGCGGTTCTTTCTGGGTCGATTTTAGCCGCAGTGAAATGTTATTCCATGAGGAGCTTGATTTTCGTGTATCTTCCGTGTATCATTTAGGCGTGAAGCGTGTCAATATCAAATGAAACTTGTCAGACTGCAAGTTGGACAACAATCGCTGAATCTGACGACATTTTACACCATAAAATAGAAAATTCAAGAAATTTTTGGTAAAAACTGATTAGAAATTTATTAGACTGAAGCCAGCTCGAGCAATTCTAGTATTTTCTTTCCATTTATCAGCAAAAAATTTTCAAATATGAGTATACACATTCATTAACACAAAACCGTGATACTTTGGGTTATGCAGAATAGTAATATGCTTAAAAAGACCCTCTGTCAAAGGTACACGCATTGTCAACTTAGCTGTCATTTAATACCTTGCCAAGGATAATATTTGAAGGATCTGTCGGCCCAACCGAACTTCCACTAGCCTCCTTGCTACACAGCCAACATCCCCTCGGTTTGGTGTCCTAACGTCTAGAATGCGACAAGCACAGTGCTCTTTGACAGTGTTCTTTACGCAGGACTGATCATCGAGACGTGTGTGCTCTGGCAACACCACACTGGCAGTCACCACGAATATCGTCGTGACAACTCCATCGTACACATGAATGAGGGTACCTCAAACGTGTCCGCGCAGAATCGTAAACGTCTGAAGCCGCTGATCCAGTGTCTAGGTGGTGGATGACGGAGCATGACCAACAACACCGTACCGTACAGTATTCGAAGTTGTCTGTAAGTGCGAGTTGGTGACCGTGTGTTTAGAAATTGTTCAGATTTGTCGACGTTCATGATAAGACTATTAAATCAACATCCAACAATGCAACAAT